GATCTGGCTCACTACTTTGATGTGTGCCACAGCATCTCCACTGTTACCACAGGCAACAGCAATGCACAGTAGGGCTGTGCGAGGCTTCAGACCATGCTTCAGATCCAGAGAAGATTCAGACGCTTCGGACACCGAAGCAGCATGTCCAGATCGAAGCGCTGGCTTCTTTAGGCTTTCCAAAGCGGTTTGGAGCTTCTGAGCCACTTCGGAAAAGCTTTAGAGCCGCTTCGGAGATCCAGCCATATGGTATAATGGGGAATCAGTGAAATATCTATAACTTTGTTGTTTTTGTCTGATGTGGATGAAACTTGAAGGGGTGGTAGCCTCTGCTGAGAGCACGCAGCCTGCTAAGTTTCAGGAAGATAGGTGCAGGGGTTTGGGGGGACCTGCACCCTAAATTCTTGAAAGCAAAACTCATGTCACGTGTATGTGTTACACCACAGGGGGGTGAAAACTGCAGGGGTGGTGGCCCCTGCTGAGGCCACAAAGCCTTCCAGGTTTCAAGGAGATAAGTGCAGGGGTTTGGGGGAACTGCACCTCAAGCTGCGGAAAAGCAACACTTGTGACATGGGTGACACTGTGTGTGTTAGGGCGCAGCAGGGTGAAAGCTGCAGGCCTGCTAGCCCCTGCTGAATCTTGTGACATGGGTGCTTGTGCAACTGACTGTCTCTGTCTTGGGGCAGTTGATTGTCTGTATTCAATCAACGGCCCCAAGACAGAGACAGTCAGTTGCACAAGCACCCATGTCACAAGATTTGCCTGTCAGCAGCTTGAGGTGCAGTTCCCCCCAAATCCCTGCACCTATCTCCTTAAAACTTGGCAGGCTTCGTGGCTTCAGCAGGGGTCACCATCTCTGCAATTTTCACCCCCTTGTGGTGTAACGCATACATGTGACATGAGTTTTGCTTTCAAGAATGTAGGGTGCAGTATCCCCCAAACCCCTGTACCGATCTTCTTGAAGCTTGGCAGGCTTCATGCTCTCAGCAGAGGCTACCATCCCTGCAAGTTTCATCCAAATCAGACTAAAAACAAAAAGTTATAGATATTTCATTGATTCCCCATTATACCCTATGGCCGGATCTCCAAAGCAACTCCAAAGCTTTGAAGCCGCTTCGGCCAAATCGAAGCGGGAAACCAATCTGGAGCTCCAGATTGGATCCCTGGCATCTGAGGCAGCCGGATCCGAAGCCAAATCGAATAGCTGCCTATATGCACAGGCCTAATGCACAGTCACTATAATAATGGACCAGTGGCTATGTAATTATGAGAAGGACCTGCATTACATTAGCAAGCTTCATACAGAAGTTCCTGGAAGTGTCTGTACCTGCCATGGAAATTCAAATATCCCTAGGAAGATTTTCAGCAGTCTTGGCTTTGAATGCCTATTCTTACATATTTTATTGGGGACACGTGTAAAGCACAACAAAATTATACCAATCCAGTTAGGACTTGAAGGAAACAACATGGTACCCATGAGACCTGCAGGTGGAGGTCTGAAAGTGGGAAGGATGTCATTATTCACACTAGCTAGCATACAGTTGCAATACAGACAAGATCATTTTAGCAAGAGGGTAGCATCACAGCAACACTTCCAACATTTGTTTTTTATGTGCTGAAAACCAAATGCTCACCTAGTATAAATGTGTTTAGCTGCATGGGAATCCACCAAGATATGCCTGTTGACAGCAGACAAGGACTCAGTCCTAGAGCTTTATGGGACACTGGCCCCTCAAATGATTTCCTTTTCCCTTTATTAATGGACTGTGACCCCTCCCTTCCAGTCTATGATCTCCCAGGCCCACACACATCTGGATAGTGAAGGAATGGTGGAGGCGCATGCATCGCCCCCTATTAATGCTCACTGTTAGTGGGCCCTATCAGTACAGAATTTCACATGTGGTGGGACTGCAAACCAGAAGGCAGTAATGCCAGCAAAGGATTGCAGTCTATGTCTCTTCTGGGCAGTGGGGACAGAGCAGCTGGGAACCACTGCACTGACTGAGAAACAGTGAGACAGAGTTGTGTATGGGCTCACCTCTCCTTTACAGTTTGACAGCTGGCTCCTAAAGGCTGAAACAGATTTGCTCTATTTTTAAAGGGAAGGCCTCCCTGCCACAGAGGTCCAGCTAGGACTATCACAAAAGCAACTACAACTGCTTGAGAGACATATGCAATGAACTGGAACAAGAAGGAATCAGAAGCATGGCAAGCCAGTGTTCATGGCTGCCAGAAAAACAGCCCATACCCTACCCTGCAGGGCTGAGGGAATATTGGCTATTAAGAAGGGCTCTGGAACCCCCAGCATCCTGAGTTCTGGCCCCAGTTTCTGCTAGTTCATGGCCTGAGGAAAGAGGAGGCCCTGGGACAAGTGGCAAAGGTCTCAGTTTCCAAGTGTCTGGGTTAACGAGCTCCAGTCTGAGTTTTGAAATGCCAAGTTCGAGTCTGAGTTTCCAGGTACCAAATGCCAATGTGAGGTCAGAATCTGCAGGCAGAGGTCTAAGTTCCCGTCCCCTCAGAGCTACCCCCAAGAGGCTACAGCAAAGGGCGGGTATCAGTGCAAAAACTTTGTCCAGTCATGTCTTTTACGGAGCAGGGGATGAATTTAGTAGCTCCCCGAGTCCCACCTGCTCAGTGCCACTGGCCTCCTCTTGTTAATTACACTGCCCTGAGCCACTTCAGCTCCCTATAGAAAGTTTTGTGCTCTCCAGTATGTCTCTGGAAGAGCCTGTCGATGAAGGGAGGTGACCCCAAAAGATCCTCCTATCCAAAGGCCTGAGGCAGGGAGAGCTCCAGAGCTTGGAGAAATGCTGAGCAGAGCCCAATAAGGGTTCAGTCTGCTTATCTGTGAGAGGAGACAGACAAACCTGTGAAAGGAATCTGCAGAACCAGGCCAGGTAAGACTTAGCCAGGCGTGTCCTATTTAAATTGGGATCAACCTATACCTGCTGAGGTGCAAACAGGGCCAAAGAAACAGTTTGTCCAAACCTGTGGAATGCTGTGCTACATGATGTCAATAGGGCTCTGTCTCTATAGAAAAGGAAGCAGAAAAATTTCTCACCTTCCCTTATTCATCCTAAAGAAGCACTGTAAAAAGGTCATACCCCAGCTATGCCTCCCACCCTCCTTTTAAAATTCCCCTCTTCCCTGGAATGCCTTCCTAGGAGATTTTAGTCTAAAGATAATTCCCTCTCACTCCTTGTGATGAGAAGTTGCTGATAGTCCTGTGACCCCCACCTGATGCCAGAGGAGTTACTATGCATTCCTTGTACCACTGGGCCCCCTCCCCTACCTGGAGCAAGGAGCTAAAAGACCCACACAATCAAGGAACTCTCTACTTCCTTCAATGTATCCCTGATACATTGCCCCAGCCCCACACAGACATCTCCCATAACGATTGGCTGACCATGAGTCTGATGTCATAATACCAATGAAAAGTTGGGTTTGGCTACTGCATTACAAATCCCTGGCAAAGGATATGTGGGGAACACCATAGCCCTCAACCACCAGTTGGTGACTGACTCCCAAGCTGGATCACACTACAATCAAGAGGCCCCAGAGTCTTCTAGGAGGCTAAGTGCAGAAAGAAGGGCAAGTGCTAGACTTCCTTCTGGGGGCCATGACCTCCTGCTTCAGGCAAAAAAAAAAAAGGTAAATTTAGAGCAGGGCTGGAAATAGGCAGAGAAGGGATGAGAGCATGGAGCCCTGCTGCTCTCAAACTCTCAGTGAGAGTCCTAGCATCTGGTGCAGGGAGACAATGTCTAGGCCTCTTCTGCACCCTCTGCTTTTCTTTCTCCAACTGTTGGGGATAGATGACATCTCTTGGCTTCTCTCAGACATGCAGTGTGGCCGAGGGCTGCAGCTCTTTTAACCATGGTGGTTAAAAGAGAAGAAAGGAAGGACTTGTTTGGGAGTTGTCCAAGAAGCCTGAAGAGAAGGCTGAAACCCTAGAGAAGGGCAATGACAAAACTCCAGAGTGATGTACAGGATGGAAGGGGTATGCCAGAAAGTCAGACCACAAACAGGGAAATAAAATGGGACCCTAGAGTTCCTAGTAGGCCAGAGAACAAAGCCCAAGGAAAATGAAAACCATGGGAGACCAGAGGTACCCACAAGGCAGGTAGCATAGAAGAGCCTGGCCTAGGGAGAAGGGCAGCAGGAAACTGGAGAAGACAAAGGGAACCTATAACCTGTGTGGAGAGAAGCCCAGGACAAAGGAAACCCCACAGCACAGAAGGAGCCAGCAAGCCTATGAGAAGAGAAAGAATCTCAGGAAGTGGACTGTGCTGCACAGGATTCCTCCAAGTTGGAAAGAGACAGGTGACCTCCCAGAACTTCCTCTATGAGCTGTTGTCTCTAAGCTGTGTTCTCTGTCTCACAAGAATGCCCGTCTCAGGTAGGCACATGATTTCTTCTGGGCCCTGGTAATGTTTCCAAGTCCTAGAGTTCTGCTAAAGCTAGATTACCTCAACCCCCATACTGGCATGCAACTCTCAGCTAGGTCTCTTCTGACACAGGCTGGCTACCGATTGTAGGATGGAGTAGATGGGAGAAAATAGTGCATGTGTGAATGCCACGCTGTATGCAGCGCTATCTGTAAATGTCAGCAGCTCCAGGCAAACTTGGTCCCGGTGCAGTGGGGAGCAGAAAAGTAGACTCGACAGTCCACCTACTCCATGACGGAGATGCACTGTGGGACTGAGGTGGGATGGAGCCTTGGAATGATTGCATTAGTGATCTGCACCTACAACAGAACTCTGGCAGCTCTACATCCATTATGCCTATTAGTATAGGAAGCTCTTTTGGTTCTCTTTTAGGCCTCTCTGTATTGCTGGAGTGGTATAAAGGGGTCTTAGTGGAATGGAAAAATGGCCCCTGTGAATAGTTTACTCTGAGATCACTCTGGTGAAATTCTTAAGACTATCAGGTCAGTAAAGGTGTCAGAATTGGTTTCTAAGTAAAATTCCCTACCAGATAATTAAAGAAACCTCCAACAATTAAAGTCAAACAAATAAAAACCCCAGAAGATTTTAATACAGTAACTACAAGGATATAAAAGAAACCACTTGGTCCATTCAACATAACCCATCCTAGTTATACTTGCAAATCAGCTTGTGAAATTCAAACGCTGACATATGTGCCATTGCTCACAAGCGATAATATTTATTACTGCAATTTCTTCTTTCCAGCTTTGTGAAAGGCCAGACAGGATTCCATTTCTTTTAAGTAAAAAAAATGTGCAAAGCAGTTAGGGAGTTTTGCTTAAATCCCTGAACAAAAAGGAATGATGCATTTGTTTCTCAGTTTCTTGAAGGAGCAAAGAATAGATGTTTATCAGGAAATGAGTAATGCATATGATCTGGCTTTCAGCAGAGGTGGAAGTGCATACAGTAGGTTCCAGAATAGGTTAGTAAAAAATTAATTAGCACCAAGTGGGGAAAGAATGATGTGTTTATTCTCTGCAAAGCATTCTTGTTTAAGCTTAATAAAAATGACTGAACTAAAAAATCCTAGTGATGTAAACTCCTCTTGATAGCAAGTGTTTTTCCATATACAAAACACTGCATTTTAAAGCAGGAGTATGAGAGATTTTTAAGCTCACAAGGCAAGATTTTAGGACACCAAACATGAATTTCAATGGGAGATAGGGATCTAATCTGTTTGGGCACTTCTGAATAACCCACTATATGCTTCTGTGCTTTTTTTAGGCACTTACTCCTTCTGAAAATCTATCAGAAATATTAGTTTTCTAAATGATTTACATAACATAATCAAAATTAATAATTTTATGAAGCAATTAGAAAACAAAAATTAGCACAGTGATCTCAACCAAGGTGCCACAACAGCATAGGGTGCCTTGAGATCCTTTCAAGGGAGCCGTGGGGTGCCACACAATGTTAGCACTGCTAGGTGTGCAAACATGATTCATAAGAAAAACCCACAGATTTCTAATAGCAATCCATAGCTGTGGTCTTTCTGAGGCTTTTGCAACTGAAAAACTGATCTATTTTTTTTTTTTTAAACTATAAAACAATAAGAGTAAAAACTTAGAGCTGGCACTTTTTAAGGAGCACCTCAAGTCTATCCAGGGTGCCCTGAGTCTAAAAAGGTTGAGAATCACTGATTTAGCAAATTTGTTTTATTTTTCTTTGGATTGAAACTTTTTCCTGCAGGATTTGTGATCCAAGTATTCCAGCAATTTGCCAGTCCTTCAGAACGAGATATTGAAGCAGGTGAATGATATAAGTGAAACTGTCTGAGTAACCTGCTCCAGAAATGTACATAAATCAAGCATATATAAATAGTAAAAACCAAAGCAAAATCTACAAGGTTAGTCATGCCAGGCAAAAACATGCATCATTTTAAATATACAGCATTTCATCCAACTGCCTTTTTAAACAGATTTAAAGCATAATTTTCAGAAACAGAAACTTTAAGACGTAACAGTGACTGAATAAATAACAGCCTTAAATGACTGATGATCTGTCTGAAGCTAGGATAGAAAGCTCTGTTTAACCAGGACCAGCCAACATTTCAAAGGGCAAAGCAAACATCAAAAGATTTTTCAGTCTGGTAGTGCTACATCCTGCATCATAGGTAAAGGTCAAACTAAAACCATGCATTACAGCAGCACATTCCCAACAAAGGTTTCAGTGGGAGGCCTGATGCTGTATTCCCTCCACCCTGGGAGTCCTATTTTTCTCCCTTCCTCCCACAAACCTACAAAACATAACTGCATAAGTTCTCTCAGGAGTTATTCCTGGTTTTCACCAGTACAAAGGAGAAGAGAACTGGGCCCCAAAAATTCCCCAAGGAAAACAATCAAGGTCCAGGGAGTGTAAAAGCAGCAGGTGGGCAGACTGCAACCAGTGAATGAAAACAGTCACTAGGGCAATTGTGCTTCATATCACCTTTCAGAGTCATGTGACAAATAGCGAAAATGCAACAAAGCAAATCAAAACCCAACATCTGTAACTGTTGGGTACCTAGTTGACATCTTGCCTGAGTAAAACTAGGGTGGCAAAGAATTCAGGATGACGGCAGCAGCAGACCAGAGGAAGAGATGAACCACAATTGGAACCAATGGTGAACAGCTGCTAACATTGCACCCAAAAAAAACACACACCTACAAACACAAACATAATGGAGAAAAGAGTTTAAAAGTACTATTTCCCCTTGTCTGCCAAAACGCAACAGAAGCAGTTGCTTGGTCTTCCACATATCAGTGGCAAAGAACAGTCGATGAGAATGGGTTGTGTGCAGCAAAGAATGTTAACTCTCTCCTCCCTGTTAAACATTTGGGGTGAAGACACTTGTCAGTCACCACCAGCTTCTTTGAAGTCAAGGGGGCCAGAAAGACATCTAGAGAAATTGTTGTGGTTGCAATGAAGTCAGTGGGCCTACAGTGAATTGTACCAGCTGAAGATCTGATGCATTTTAAGGTCCTAACTCTGCTTTTCATCATGGCTGTAGCCCTGGGCATCTGGCATCTCACCACAGCAGAGGAGCAGGCATGTGCACACCATAGCAGAGGAGCAGGCAGATGTCCCCTAGGAACCTACATAATGAGGAATGTACCCCTCTAGACCCATTTCCTGAGTCTTTCACCGACACATCAACCAGCTTCCCCATCTTTAAATCTATTGCAGGCAGTTCATTTTGGGAGGGGGAGGGAATCAATCCCCTATCTCTTGTGCATCTGGGGAGCTGGAAGTGTTTTTTACTCAGATCTATCACACATCATGAAAGTACATCTGCTTGGATTTTTTCAATCAGCATTTTTCTTGCTCCTACAAATGGCACTTTTAGCTGTTATCATAAGTATAAGGGCAACACTGCTCCAGGCACAAGCTAAGCAGCTGTGGTTGCTGGAAGCAAACAATGATGCAAAGCTGAGAATTTAAAGCCAGATCCCACTGCACCCATTAGGTGCCTAAGTGTGACCCAGCTCCACCCTGCTAGAGTCTCTGAAAACAGTTAAATGCCAAAGGTGGGAGGGTGAGTGGGTCCTTCTCCCCCATGTTTTTTGTCTTAGTCTTTAAGGCTAAAAGGATGGCATTAAGAAAGCTGATGTATTAACGATTCTTTAGGGACTTAAGCAGAGTGGAATAGGGTGACACTTAGACACTTAATATGTAAAATAGGATTTGGCCCTTAGTATCCAAATGTTGGAGGTAAAAGACCTGATCAAGCTGACCCTCAAACACTTACTGAACAGCAGCAAACTCCAGAAATAGCCAAACAGAAATGACTGGAACTCTTTAATGTAGCTCCATATGAGCATCTCTTGTTGTCCAGTGTATGGAGAGATCTTACAGCAGGCTCTGAGAAAGGTTTGTCCTCTGGTGCCATAGCTACAAGGTAAGCGTTAGGATAACAGCAGCAATGGAAATAGAGCACCACAGATGAGGGCCCTAACATTTAAAGGGAAGTCCTACACAGGCTGCTGACTGGAGAGGGAGAGAAGCTATGGTTAGTAATTTTGCAGTTTAAACAAAGTGTTACACTGACTCCCAGCCAAACAGATTTCATAGACATTTGGGCTGGAAAGAACCCCGGAAGTCAGCAGGGATCATAGGATCCCAGCAAGATAAACATCAAAATGTGTCTTGAAGGCATTCAAAGTGGGTGCTTGAACCGTCTCCGGCAGCAGTCTATTCCAGACCTTGGGGGCACGGACAGTAAAGAAGTTCTTCCTTATGTCCAGCCAGAAATAATTCATGTCTTCCTGAGTTAGATCCTTTCTCTATGCAGGACAACCCTCTTCTGGCATCCTAATTGCTCATATGCTCCAAACCAAATACATCAGGAGCTGTATTTCATCACATCCTGTTTTAAGAGGAATCGGAGGACATCGTCTGAGAGCCCAGGAATTTGCTTTCCCTCGTTCATTGTGGCTTCCCCATCAGCAGGGGCTGAGAAACAAAAATTACGGGAATGATTTGGAAAGACCTTGATGTCATCTCTGTTCAAGACCATTTGAGCTATCTGGAGACTGCGCAAGGCATATTTTGTCCCATCCTTGTTGGCCAACTCTGAAATTTTCTGGGATAGACACTGTGAAGCTGCCTTGTATGTTGGATCCCCTCGGCCAGGCTGCACCTGGCAGCATTTTTCATAGAAGTTCTTTAGAGAATTTTTAATGCTAGCTCCTTCATTAGTGCCTTCATGTTCAGATGTCCAAGATGACAGAATGTCACTAGGCTGGGAGGGCTGAAACTCTGCATCTGAATGGTGCCTGGGATTTGCCTTCTCACAGAACTTGGTCCAGAAGCCCATAGTAACCAAAGAAGTACCATCTTCAGGATCTTGGCTATCATCACCTGCAGGCACAGAAAAGGGTGAAATGCATTAAATATTTAGCAGTACAGAGGAATTCCCGAACGGCTGCAGATGATTAACAGAGTTGTCCTTGAGGCACCAACAAAAAAAAATCTCTTGCTTACTGAAGTTTCACTAATAATCTCAAAATCAGGCTGCCCAAAGGTACGATCCTATTAAATGCTGAAAGAAACCTGGTCATGCTCAGAAGAGGACTATTGCAAAATTCTGACCAGGCTGCCAGAAGGACTGCCTGTACACGTTTGTCAGAAGATATGTTGCACTACTGTACTAGATTTTACTGGTGCCCTGGCCTCATTCTATCTCCAGCTGGCCTTATTTATTTTGTGGCTGGTACTACATGGCTCTTTTCTGTCCAGAAAAGAAGTGGTAATTTGCTGACTTTCTGCTGCCAGTGGCCATTACCCATTGCCCAGGCTGGCCCAATGGGAAGGCAATGGATCTCCAGGCTACCAACTTAGGCAACTTACTGCCTGGTTTCATTTTTTCCACAGCTCACTTTGTTTTTACATTTTCATAGGAGCAGAAGACTAGAAGGGGTCTCCCAAACCAAAAAGACCAGTCCCCTGAGTTTCCAGGCATCCATTTGTCCATATGGGTTCACAAAAACATCCACTCCAGCCCCTCTAACATGCCACAGTAAAATAGTACCCTACAAGTAAGAACCTACCAAGTGTCACAGGGAAATAGCTGGAGAGACAATGGCACCAACCTGGATTTGTTAGGTAAAATAAGACCAAGTCATTCCAGGCAGTGAACCACAACCCATGCTACAAGAGGCCTTATCTTACCGCTCCTGTGCGATGCAGATTCCTGTCCCCAGCCTTTGGCCAGAATCTAAGTGTCAGATCCAAAGCTCATTTAAGCCAACATGCATTTCCAACAACCCTGCTGGGCTTTGGACCAGACTCATGACAGAACAGCCTGTGCTCCCCTTTCCTAAACCCCATTTTTCCAGCTCTCACAGACTAAATTCTGCTACTAAACCTTTTAGTGGTAACTTATTTTCCATAAACCACTGGATCTTTCTAGTCCAGTCTTAGCACTCACCTTACTGTCTTACAGATACACCTTCCCTTTATTATGCAACAATGGGGATCTCTCCTGCTCTCATGGAAATCTATGGAATACCAGGCAGATATTTCTTATTAATGTACCAATCATGGCAGGAAGGCACTGTGCAGCTGTACATGAAGTCAGGAGGGCTTTTTACAATGCTGGTGCATCTCATCATTGCTTTGTGGCAGCAGAAAGAGCATTTCTCTATATCAGCACTGCTGACTGCTTTCTCACCCCCAAGGCTTCCCTCTAAGCTGATTTGCACAACTCCTGAGCCACATACCAAGGGGAATTTCTAAGGACTTGTTTCTGTTCTTTACTGAACAGCTACTAGCTTTACAATCTCTGGTAGGTATGTAAGCGGTATACAAAGTCGGAAAATAGCTGAGTCTTTCATAATTTATTGGCATATGAAGTGGAGCACAGCCCTTCATTTCAGTAAGAGATCTTGTTCAAAGGGAATCTCAACTGTGGTACAGAAGGGCTTTTCAATTTTTTTTTCCAATAGATGGAAACAAAGCAGTCCTCACTTCTGCATGCTCAAAGATTCATTCATATCAAATTAATGCGTCAGTGAAGCTGTACTGTAGGTTGCATCTTTATTTCAGGAGAATTGCCTCCTCTTCCTTGCCCCCTTTGATCTTTTCTTTCAAATTCACTTCACCCCAATTCTGTTTTTTTGAGAAGAATTTATCCTTGTCCTGCCATCTGTCATTTCTAATATAGTACAAGGAAAAGCTTACGTGGCCTCCTTTTTACATCAATCTATACCATTGCAGTCATAGTACAAAGCTAATCAAAGAGAAGAGATCCATTTTCTACTAATAATCTATCAGCCTCGGTGTCCAGCTTACATTAGATTGGAAGGATCATGCAACTCCAGAAAGGCAATCAAATCTCATTTGCACTCAGACTCGAGCAGCATTTTGGATATCTCTGCCATCTCCTTGCTACTTGTTACATTCAGCTTGCAGCTTTATTTTGTGCGAAAGCAAAAGCAGTAGCAGCTTTTAGCTTAAACCCTCCAGGATTCAGTAAGAGCAAAGCCCGGTTAGCTTCACATGATCCAGAAAGACTTCTCTCTAGGCCCTTTGTCATGCAGTTATAACCTCAGCATGAATGGTATTTTCCATCTTTCTTTAGTTGTAGCCAGCCCACCAAAGAAATGACCTGCAGTTATTAAGGGATGGATATATTTTTTTCTAACTGAAGATATTCAATTATATTATGAAGATGATGATATAGATGTCTTTGGTGTCTTGTTTTTCAGTGGAAAGCAGCTATCTCAGAGTGGTAGTCACCCTGAGCCTGATCTAATGGCAGTCTTGCTATAGACTTCAAAGGACTTTGGATCAGGCTCCAGAAATCAGTGCTCACCAAAGACCACAAATGTGTTTAACCAGCAACCATAACTCAGATTGTGGTGGTCAGCTGACAACACCCTAACCACAGTGCATGACTGATACCATTTAGGAAACATGTCAGTGACCTCCAAATAACAGGGATGACAAAATTCAAATCTCTGCACCCAGCTAAATCATCTTATTTTTTTGCAAACTCTCTCCATACTCAAGCCCCAGCCTAAAAAACCTTAGCATTTTGTTCATATGACCCTAAGCCTTTTCCATGTGGCTTTCTTAAAGTGATACAAATCCAACACAAAGGATCTGATCCAAAATCTGTTAAGCTATAGAGGGATCATTGTTCAACCTGTCAGAGCATGTTACATGTTATTCTCTCACTTTTTATGTTCTCTCTTCAGTTCCAGTCCAAATCACAACATAAAATATTTCCCATTCCTTATTAATGCAACACACCATTCTGCTTGCCCTTGCTTCTTAGAATTCAGACTAGGCAAGCATCACCACTGAGCTTTCTTGACTACCATTGTAGTGCTTAAACTAGTCTCTGACACCACCCTTGGCCTTCTGCTTCTCCAAATAATCTGCTATCAAGCTGCAGAATTTTTTCAGTGACTATAAATTCTTCAGAAATATGCTGCCCCCGACCCCTTAAAAAAAAACTGGCTTCCAACAGATAATTTGCTTAGGAGCTAAGGGAGCTTGGAAGTTTTATGCCTGGAGGGATGAGCTACTGTTTTGTGGTGGTCCAAGGGATGTGCTTGTGATGGGGACTCCAGTGCACATTCTTGGAGGATTTTGAGGCCTGCAGAATGAATCCACCCTCCAACTTCTCCCTTGTCTCCCACAGCTCAGTCTCTCCATGATGCTCTGCAGAGAACAGTCTGCAGGAGGTACAGGCTTCCTGACAGCACAGGAGATCTGTAGCACAGAATCTCAGGCTTTTCAGGGCAATCGTCTAGATTTTCTCACTCTTGCCTAATAAAACCCAATACTGCTATGGCTTCAACGGGCCTGACCACAAGGCTTCAACAAACCCAGTCCAACATCTGCTGAGGTCAGTGGACAGGGGAATGCGTATGCAGCAGGCACGGAAAGTTAGATTCTCAGCAGGGCAAACCCATGGAACCCCAGTTGTCTTCAGTGGCACTGAATGGCCTACACCAACAAAAGATCTGACTCAAACTGTTTTTAAGTGTCTTCACTATTTCTACTCCCAAACAAGCATTCAAACAACCCATTCCATTACTCATATCTTGATTTCATTCTCATATGACAGATAGTCACCACTAAGAAGGTATATTATTTCACCCGCCTCCCCATTTCATGGTAATTGGAGACCGTAAGCTTTTGCGTTTCTTTGCACAAAATTTGGAGGATGATAAACGGATATTCTGTGTTTATAGCTCTGCTGTTGATAATTTTAAAGTCTCCATATGGTACAAGTGAGTCTCTGTGCATTACAAATCTTGTACTTGGGACTCTGTTTTGTGATACAATGATACTGCATACATTATTACTTTCACTTTCTTACATTATCTCATACCTCCATTTGAGAATCTATATATAGCCATACTAATGCCTCTGCCAAGCAAATACCGCTTTAGAATGAGCCACTATGCTGCCAGATTCTTGGAGAGAAAGTCTTACCCAGTGTGGCCTCTCCCTCCTTGGGCTACTGCCCTGACCCCCAAGCTGCTGCTTTATCCCTTTCACACAGGGGTTTGGCTGAAGAATTCATGTACCTGCTGATCAACCAGCCACAGCCCTGTTCGCCTCTCTCATTACCCTCCCCATATACCACTGCAGATGGAATTTGCAGAGGCCATGTATGGGATACCATTCCCCTGTGAGGGTCCATGACCTGTCTCCCTCCCCTACATGGCAGCTTTGTACCTGTGACCTGAATAGTAGACAGCTGCTGCAGCAAGGCTTTCATACCTTTGAAAGTATTTGTTAAGTATCCTGCAATAAGGCTGATTAACTGTCCTCCTTCAGGGTGTAAGCTAATTGCCACAGGGCCCAGGAAAACAATCTATCCACATACAGGACTGCTAAAATTAGTGACACGTTTTTGGCCTTACTCAGTGCCCTTTGAAATCAGTGGCAGACTTTTTACTCGAGGAGGAGGAAGAGGAGATAGAGGGCTAGCTGGAGGTTTCTGGCTGCTTCTGCATGGCTCACAAAGGAAGGATCGAAGATGTAAGGAGGCAGCAGTACTATTCCATGCAAGAAGTCGTGCACTCCTAAAATTAAAAATCCATGGAACTGCAATGTCATGTTTGGATCCACTGCTAATACTGGGTGCAGCAACATTCAGCTCCCCCCACACACCTTCAGTTTTCTCTTTCAGACTGCCCCACTTGCAAAGTGCATCCCCCAACTCACATGTATGGCAGCAATAGTACCCATGCAGGACCATTTTAAAATATAGCTGATACTCCATGAGCTTTCTAATGGAACGGGTGTCAAATCAGGACATCTGTGGGCTGATTATCAGTCCCAAACCATCAAGTAGATGGCTTACCCTGCTTTTACCAAACTCTTGGTAGTCTGGCCCT